TTTTTGTTTTTATTTCGGTAATTCCACTCATTGCCGGAAACTCAAACAGAACGCGCGCAGTAAGAGCTGCGTAAACATCTTGTTAACGTTGGCGGTGTCAGTCACACAATGGACGAGGTCGAGGAGCCAGTAGAACAGTCAGCAGTGCACAGGTAAAAACGCATTTGTGTCTTGGAAATTCAGACATCACTTTGTATTGAAAGAAGAGAGGGACGAGCGTGTGGTGGACTCGGTACGTGGGGGGTTACCCCGACCACCCACTTCTCCCGAATTCAGATATAAAAAATAACAAATATAAAATCGCCTACAAGTTAAATGTCAAACCAGAGCGACTGGCAATGCTGAAAACAACCTGCATAGGCTCATGAAATCTGCATAGGGTGACCAAACGTCCGTTTTTTCCCCGGACATGTCCGTATTTTACGTCCTGTCCTGGGCGTCCGGGTTTATTTTTATAAAGTGATGCAAATGTCCGGGTTTTCAGTACAGTTCATTGGGGGCATTAAACTGAGCGTCTCTCGTAGCGTCTGTGACTCAGAAGGAGCCAGACACAAACAGTCGGTCAGTCTGCAACACGCCGAAGCACAAAAGCGCATTTAACAATGACTTGGACAAGAAATTCTCCGTTTTCCATCCCGGTCGGGACAAGTGTGAGTCCATGTGCACAGGTTGTGAAGTGAGAGGACAGTGTCCCTCGTTTATCGCGGGGGTCAAGTTCTAAAAATAACCCACGATAGGTGAAATCCACGAAGTAGTTAACTTTATATTTTACAATTATTCTATCTGTGTTAAGACTGTAAAACCCCTCACCACAAACTTTATACACTTTTCTCAGACAGGACAGTTTCAACACTTTTTACTTCCTTCTTAAAACTTATTGCTGCTGTCGTCCTTGTGTTATTTTCCTCCTTCTTTATGTAACAAACTGAAGATTCATTTATTCCATAATGGAGCCCGACAGCGCAGAGTCCCGCTCGGGTCCATTTTTGGAGACCTGCAGTACAATACCGCACCCACGCAGGACAGGACCGCACCTGCCCGTTAACCAGAGATTATATCAAATATTTTGCGCTGCCTACGCCACAGACTGAACCAAGACTAAACCAGGACTAACCCAGGACTGATTCCACGACTGAAGAGGAGGACTAATCCACGACTAAACTAGGACTAAACCAGGACTAAACCAGGACTAAACAAGAACTGGCCAGCTCAGCTCCACACCTCACGGAGTTAAACGCAGCAGTTGCCCGATCGCGCTTTGCGGACAAACTGCTCGGCGTTTTCTCTCTTAAGTCCAAGATTAGTCCTGGTTTAGACCTGGTTTAGTCCTGACCCACCCGTGTGTAATTACTACCCGCCTGTAATACACAATACGCGTTCATAACACTGTAAAAAATTGCAAAGGTGTCCGGGTTTTCACAAACGGAAATATGGTCACCCTAAATCTGCAGGACTGTCCTATAATGACCTGAGACATGAGGGGACGTGCACACAAACACACACACCCACCGTCTCTCCGTACTGCGTAAACCGCGCTTCCTCCTGTGCGCCTCTAAACCAGAACTAACAGCAAGACTAAAACATAGGACTAAACTAGGACTAAAACCAGGACTAAACAATATGACACCTAACAGTAGGTGGACATAATTTAAGGCAGGTGTGATTTCATATAAAAATCATTTCTGTATCAATAATATTTTTAATCCGGTTAAGGAAAGACTGGGCTTTTTATTTTCTTTTAACAGAAAAAACATCTTATCCTAGGATATCCTAGTCTTTGCTTGCAGCAAACAAAAGTCTGTTCATGGACACTTGGGCTCAACAGACAATTTGAAGAGAAAAAACAAGAACTTTCAGGATGTGGTTACTACATTCATGTAGTTTTAAAAAGCAAGACAATATCAAGTACAAGTATTCAGATTACATTACTCACTTTAAGTAACGGATTATGTTACAAACTACATTTTAGTGTATGTAATCTGTAATCTGTAGTTGAATACATTTTAAAAGTCACCTTCCCAACACTGTGCATTACAAAGTTGGTTAAAAGGGCCAACATTACCACATTTTCTACATGTAATAATTTAGTTTCCTCATCACAAACATACCTGCTCCTTAGAACCTACCACTAAGAACCTGCTCCTCTGAACCTTCTCCTCTGAATCTGCTCCTCAGATCCTACTCCTGAGAATCTGCTCCTCTGAACCTTCTGCTCTGAATCTGCTCCTGAGAACCTGCTCCTCTGAATCTGCTCCTCAGAACCTGCTCCTCAGAACCTGCTCCTCTGAAATCTGCTCCTGAACCTGCTCCTCTGAATCTGCTCTGAACCTGCTCCTCAGAACCTGCTCCTCAGAACCTGCTCCTCAGAACCTGCTCCTCTGAACCTGCTCCTCAGAACCTGCTCCTCTGAATCTGCTCCTCAGAACTGCTCTCAGAACTGCTCCTGAGAACCTGCTCCTCAGAACCTGCTCCTCTGAACCTTCTCCTCTGAATCTGCTCC